TCGAACCTACGACCTTTGGAATACTAGCACAATGCTCTTCCAACTGAGCTACGCGGTCAGGACGGTTCGAGTAAGTGATATTTCGGAACAGAATCTAGTTCCTTCGATACCAATGTATTCTAGTAAGATGAATTTTTTTCTGTGTTGGTGTAGTGTACTCAGGTGAATATGATATTTGTGGTGTTACTCTGAGTGTATATCCACACCGGGCGAGCTTGAAAATATGCCCGGCCACGGTGGGATTCGAACCTACGAGCTTCGGAATACTAGCCCAATGCTCTTCCAACTGAGCTACGCGGTCAGGACGGTTCGTAGCCTGCGAACAGGCTCACTGGGAGAAAGGTGAGCCTGCACGGAACATGCGTTTTATTCATTCATCCCCTTTTCGCACTGCTAAACGCTAACCAATCAGCGTCGACTGCGATAAATAAACTGTCAACTGTCAAATTGACGCAAGGCGTGTACATTGTGCAACATGAACAATAATAATACAAAGCATTAGCGGGCCGCACAATATATTACTTGGAAAAATATAGAATTCTTCAAATATTAAATAGATATCAATACACATACAAATATAAAGCCGAATAAACTACCATTGGCTTTGAATGTACAGTAATACTTGTACTATGTGCGACTGAAAGAACAATGTTCTGAATATTTTGAAGCTATTACTAAAATACGGTCAGATAGATTGGGATTTGGAATACCGAATACGTTTAAAATTTTACTAACTGTGGTATAAATAAATGATAAATGAGCATGTATTTATTAATTTCTTCGAAATCACGAGTGTGCCAATAGTGGAAGCCGTATCGACGACGAAATTGTCAGCAGTTAATATACAGCAAATAGTACAACGTTTAATGTACGATATATATTTATCTAAATGACATGCCAGCGAGGATCGACAATATAATTATTCGTACATATTTGGGTATCTTTTGTATGCCTTCGGTTGCTGACTTGCTCACTAATGAGAATAATCCGTGAAGCCACGACGACCTCAAAATGTACTATACTATGGTCTGATGTCAATCCGAAGACGAAGTTCAGAATACTGTTATAGTTTCGTATATTGGATTTAAGCGATAGATTCAAGTCATTTATGATAGACTTTTTGCTGTGATGCTTTGCTATTGCTTTTGGTTTCCATTTCTAGTTTTATTTGTTCGATAGTCTTATAAGACTTATAATATATAATATTAAAATGAATAAAGTTCAAATTCTTCAAAATGCTGTTGTTGACATTTGCTATTTTTAGTAATTTTGTCAACGAGTGTAAGCCAATCAGAAGCCTGCGTTTCTATACGAACGCCACTACCAAGAAAACCTATCATCCGTGCAGGCCCTCTATTCTTCGCGCCGCCCGCAACCCAGGGCCTGTTCGCAGGCTAGACGGTTCGAGGTCCAAAGGTCGTAGGTTCGAATCCCACCGCGGCCGGGCATATTTTTCAAGCCTGCCCGGTTGCCATCGAGTTGCCATCAAGTTGTACAAAATGATGTCATGGCCGGCCGTCTAGCCGGCATATTTTCGATACGCGCGCAAACTTATTGGTGACATTTGAGTTAGGTAATTCCTTCCGTTAACGAGATTGACTAATGGGAAGCTTTTCCGAAGATTCTTCGGAGAAGAACACATTAATCATAGGCATTTGGGCAGGCGTTTATTTACCCACGCCCTCTCTTCTCCCGCCCGCACTAAACGCCTGCTACGCAGGCTAGGACAAACGTAGTGCGAATGAATTGTCAACAATACGTACTGCGAGCGATTTGTCAACAATACAATTTCGCTTGATTTTCAAAGGCCATAAATCGCTAGAATACTGGTGTTTAGTAATACACTTGACATCCGTAAGTACAATTTCTTCCGCTGAATCGAACGGTGTCGCTTTCTTCTCAAAATATAAAGCAGGGCAGCTAAACGTATTAACTTGCGATTTGCGAAGGTTACCGTTCCCATGTCGAAATTCCTTGTAAAATTGTTCAATTTTGCCGAATTTTCCTCAAAATGCAGGGTTATTTATGGATAATTTGGGTAAATTGGCAGGAGCCTTATGGATAATTGGGGGAAAATTAGGCAGCTCATTAATATTCTATTTTGTGGCTATCGACGATTGGAGATCCACTATCCGTGATCCGTGAAAAATGCAAGCCGAAACCTATACTCGTGTAATAAGATTCATATTGATTTCACTGTCGAGAATTCTCTAAAATATCTCATTTGTTTCCTCGTAGTTTAAACCCAACCACGCGCATTGAACATTTTTAAATTCATTGAGAATGCAAACAATGTTGTGAAAATGCGAACATTGACGTTGAAAATGAGAACATTGATGCTGAAAATACAAACACTGATGTTGAAAATACAAACGTTGATGTTGAAAATGCGAACATTGATGTTGAAAATGCGAACATGAATTTTGGCGGAGATTTGACGCCATGCTATCCGCCAAAATTCAAGTTGTAATGAAAATACAAAAACGTTGCAATTGATGTTGAAAATGCGAACATTGAGGTTGAAAATGCTTAGAAAGATGTTGGAAATGCGAACATTGATGTTGAAAATGCGAACATTGATGTTGAAAATGCGAACATTGATGTTGAAAATACAAACATTGATGTTGAAAATGCGAACATTGATGTTGAAAATGCGAACATGAATTTTGGCGGAGATTTGACGCCATGTTATCCGCCAAAATTCAAGTTAGTAATGAAAATACACAAACGTTGATGTTGAAAATGCGAACATTGAGGTTGAAAATGCGAAGAAAGATGTTGGAAATGCGAACATTGATGTTGAAAATACAAACGTTGATGTTGAAAATGCGAACATTGATGTTGAAAATACAAACGTTGATGTTGAAAATGCGAACATTGATGTTGAAAATGCGAACATGAATTTTGGCGGAGATTTGACGCCATGCTATCCGCCAAAATTCAAGTTGTAATGAAAATACAAAAACGTTGCAATTGATGTTGAAAATGCGAACATTGAGGTTGAAAATGCTTAGAAAGATGTTGGAAATGCGAACATTGATGTTGAAAATGCGAACATTGATGTTGAAAATGCGAACATTGATGTTGAAAATACAAACATTGATGTTGAAAATGCGAACATTGATGTTGAAAATGCGAACATGAATTTTGGCGGAGATTTGACGCCATGTTATCCGCCAAAATTCAAGTTAGTAATGAAAATACACAAACGTTGATGTTGAAAATGCGAACATTGAGGTTGAAATTGCGAAGAAAGATGTTGAAAATACAAACATTAATGTTGAAAATACGAACATGAATTTTGGCGGAGATTTGACGCCATAGTTTCTAACGCTATTTTGAGATCTGGAAGGCTAAACGTCCAAAAAATGATAACTTTCTCCTTGCATTTTTCAGCGAAATAAAACCAACGGAAGCTTGTTGTGATTGGCACTACCTACACTGGCACAGACCGTTCGAGATTAGATCATTGAAGTTTCAAGTTGTGGCTTTCATTATCTAACGGTTTGACTTTGCACGTGCAACGTCCGCGCGTCAATAAAAATGTTGTGTGATTAAAGTATCTATTAACTTCTTTGCAAATTTTACCTTCCATTTTCCTCATAAAATATTTCGATATTTGTTTGCCAATCATGGTTGCGATTTGATGTTGTATAATAGTGTCTATGCACGAATCAGTTGCCAGTTTTATGGGAGTCATTCCCTCATCATCTTCTAAATCAAGTATTCCACCCTTTCTCAGCAACAATCGCAAACTGGTTGCTTTCCCACATTTTGCTGCCAAGTGAACAGGAGTTTGACCAATTTCGTCCGCTGTATTCGGATTTCCATCTTCCCAAGAAAGCATTATTCTCAAGCATCTATAGAACACAATGTACATGTAAGTTTAATATAAGTTATAACAGATAGACAAATAGAGATATAGTTTATTGTGGTAAAATATCTTACAGTTATTACACGGAGAATATTAAATACATAGAGAGAACTTGTGAACGTTGGCTTTCCACCATCATTTATATAAAATATATATGAAATCACTGCGTGAAAAACGTTTGAAAACGGTTATGAATCATGAAAAGATCGTTGTGCAGTGTTGGTCGTACCACAGCAGACTCGCACCTGCCACGCCTGGCAGTTCTTGGTCAATTTCTTGCAACAAAGTACGATTTCTTGCAAGTTGTGATATTTCGTTGTCGTTTAAGACTATTTTCTACTTGTTTTTGTTGTATTGACTAATGTTAATATTCTTCTGTCATCTGGGCGTGAATTCATGCTGTTATTCTTGGTATATATGACATATGCCTTATTTAAAGTCCTGGAATATTAACATGTTAACAACAGAAGCGTTGAAGAACTAGACTTGCACAGCAGGAACTAGATTTGTAAAGTATTACTATAGCTATCTAAAGGTATATATACACTATGAATTAAATTTCACTGTTGTAATAAATATTTCAAACTTTACGGTTGTGAACTTTTATTCACTTGGGCTTTTGTTTACAGTATACATTTAATAGAAAATTAGAAATTGCCATTGGCATTGTGATCGAGCCTTCGGCTAAAGAAGTCATTAATACAAAAGCAATTATACGACTTTCTAATCATTTCTCTGTTACTATTTTACACTAAGCAACTGATAGCATTCTACTATTCTCCATATATTAACCGAATGACATTATATATAATTTATATATTCGAAATATTCGCATGGTTAACTTGCCATATGTAATTTACTCATAACTTTTCGTGCATTTTGCATGTCATCAAACATCTATAAGTTTATTATTATTCGCCAATGGCGTTCAGTTCAACTCTTCATCAAAAAGTAAGGTTTTACACACAGAGTGTATGACGATATGGCAACTTTTTGTATTAAATTCCATGTTTTCCCGCCATGACAGTATAGAAGAACTGCCAGGCGCTCCCCAGCACGCATCCTTCCCAACAGCCCCTTCGCGTGTCGCCTGCCTACCTGAATATTTCATGTATTATGTACTATTTAAAAAACGAGCAGAAGTGTTTTATTAGGTTTAAAGCCACGAGCGCGCAGCGCGAGTGGCTTTAGACCTAATAAAACACGACCTGCGAGTTTTTTAAATGGCTTCAAAAACGTTTGCATAATAAGTCAAATCTTTATATAAAAATCTTTATATAAAAATTTTATATAAAAATATTTATATAAAAAACTTTATATACTTTGCATAACAATGGTCTTTTGTTAAAGTGTTCTTTACCTGGTATAAAGACGTATGCACGTGACTAATTTCTTACTCAAGATTGGATAATTGCTTCAAGAATTATTAATGAGTTTTTGAAAATTATTTAAAGCGCCTGGATACCAGTGGATACACGGTTATATTCATAAATCATATAAACATCAATAGGGATATAAGTTGGAGGTTTAAATTCAGCAATGTATATTGTATGATTTTAACGTGAACATAAACAATAATTGTCTTACAAAACATTCGACAACTCGTCGCATTTAAGCTAAAAGCACCCATTTTGTCAAACTCAGAGTTCAACTTGTGGCAGGCCAACCCCGCTGCATGTAAGTAAGAAGAAGAGAAGGTGAAGAAATATCGAACACCCTATCAGCATTTCGAGGAGAATTCTTAGAGAATCGCATCGTAGCTATATAGGGTTCCAAAACACGACCCAAATAAAGAAGACAAATCTTTTTTCATTAGTATATCACTTCTTAGAAAAAACAAGAATTTGACTGCGTTTTAGGCCGTAGGCAGTTGGCCAAAATTATTTCGCTTCGTGGCAACCCCCTGGGGAATAGATTTTCTGTGGTTCAATGCATAGTACCATAGATGCTCAATTACCACAAAAAGTTCCCAAGCAAAAAACTTGAAAAACACCGAGAAAATGGGTGATCAGAGATTATCCTCTATTAAATTGTATTACAGCAAGAAAATGTGAAATTTTGTATTCAATTACAACAAAAATGACTTGCATCATCGGAAAGCTTAGAAAAACCGCATATAAGACTTTTAAACAGTTTTTTGATCCTTCAAATAGTCTCGGAGTTATTGCTGTCTTAAATGTGAAAATTGGACCAAAATGTCGCAATAAGGACTGGGTACCAGGACAGCGTATAACTCGAAAACAATTTCAGATATAAAAAACCCTGTTTAAATGTCTTATAATTTAGATTTTTGTAAGCTTTCTGATAATGCTAGTCATTTTTGTTGTAATTGAATGCAAAATTTCACATTTTCTTGCAAATACAATTTAATAGAGGATAATCACTGATCACCCATTTTCTCGGTGTTTGGCAAGTTTTCTGCTTTGGAACTTTTTGTGGTGATTGAGCATCTATGGTACTATGCATTGAACCACAGAAAATCTATTCCCCACTTTTTCACAAAACGGCCCACGGTCTATTTCTAGAGCTTAATAAAAATAAGAAAATAAAATCGATTTTATCCATAGTACGAAATACTTGTTAGTCCAAATGTTACGCGCACAAGCCGCTAGGGTTACGGGGAAGGTCCTAGAATGGAAACTTCACGGACCTTTATTGGGAATAGAATGGATTTTGATTATCCATAATAATTTTATATTTCCATACTATGGATATAGTATCAAAATAGTATGGACAGACTATTATAGATTTAGTGGTGCAATTGCAATTTCATAGTACGGAGTTCACTTTTTTTCCAGTGAAGAACAAAGAAATATATATTCGTAACGATACTAACGGATATATTCGTAACGATACTAACAGATACTTTAGACATGAATATTCTTTCTTCGTTCTTCACCAAAATCACAACCCTATTCTTAATCCTACGGATTTGTTACCGTAACATAAGGGACCGGTCATAAGGTAACCGCTAGGGTGGGTTGGAGTGATTTGGGATGGGCCATGGAAAATCTTTGGGCATGCAGTTTCGATGGGCCGCCAATTTTTTTGTATGTCCATGGTTGGGCCACCAAACAAAAACCAATATATTATATAAAGATATTAATAATAAAAGTAAACAAAACTATCCTAATTATCAAATGAAAATGATGCTATTGAAGCCAATACTTTGTTTTATACAACAACAAGAAGTGGTCGAATCACGGCAAATCCAACCAAATGGAGAACAGCTCAGTATCGTAATTGGTGATGAATGTGTTGGTCAAGCTTGGTGTAATTACATATGTCAGTACAGTGCCAGTGTATATTTACAATGTTGAAATACCTTCAAGTATTTTTTTTTATAAAAGTGTATTTTCCCAATTTAGATTGGGTGGGTGGGTCATGAAATAAATTTGGTAAGATTAGATGGGCTTTGAAATTTTTATCTACGTCCTAAGATGGGTCACCAAACGTGTTGGAAAAAGTTGTGATTTACCTCCAGCCCACCCTAGCAGTTACTTTATGACCAGTCCCTAACGATGTAACCCGACCATGATCGGCAAGTTCCCCTGATTTGGCTTATATACATAAAACAAAAACTTCTAATCCCAGAACAAACAGGGGCGAAATACAAATATATATGAAGATAACAATATCAAGTTAAAGCGGTTTATGTGGCGAGTTTATTGGAGGGTTGTAGCACCGTCGAAGAGGCAATTCGATAGAGGTCATGACCGTGGGGCAAGCATTGGCGTTTTTAGTCCTTTACGGCTATGTCCATATTTGGTATTCAACTACATATTAACCAAGTTACTTATATCTAGCTGCTCTCGAGTGCCGAGAACAATTACACCTTTCCTAGTACTACAGTCACACTTCCAGAAGAACTGGAGATGAGCGGCGGCCTTATCATTGAGCCATCAGCCAATTACTATATATAGATCCCGATTAGTAGACTGGCTTACGAGTTATGGCTTATGAGTTATTTCCTTTCCCGGGGGGTAAACAGCCGGGCGGAATTAGAACCCTCGCACGGCGCTCCGCGTGGTTGGCTCGGGGATTATTATAAAAGGAAATTATCGTGATGTAAATATATACCTAAATAGATTTTGTTAAATGGTCAACTTCAGACCCATAGACATGCAGATACACTAAGGTCTTTTATCGTAAATATATTCAGGCCAAAGGGATTATCACTCTTTGGGTTGACCAGTACTACTGGAGTAGTGGTTAAAGATTATACAGTACATGTAATGGTTCACTTCACCCTGGTCCAATTCTCCCACAATAATTTGGCGTGTCTTCAATTTATTTTCCGGCTGCTATTCACCTGATACGGGCTCGGATAATTAATTTCAATATTTTTCACGTCTAGACACAAAATAAATGTCGAAACGTGTTGAAATACACGAGCAAAGTTTGACGCTATATAGAAATGACACCTTGTATACAAGTTATTCCTTGTGCGATTATTAATACTCACTTATGCTTCGTTGGAACAAAAAAGTTTTCGAAATCAGACCAAAATTTATATTTATATTTCAATTTGCGCGAATAATTCGAATTAGAACTTTATTGTTCATGCGTTACACAATCCTCATGATACACCATGGCGATACTACTATATTACCTGGTATATCCTCTAAATGCTGCACAATGCATTGGTGTCATCCCACGTTGATACAAAAGTTCACCATTTTTTACAATATGAGACGCACCAGTCTCATCCGCACTCTCATTTTGAATAAGTCTTGTAACATCTTGGAATCTGCCACAACACGCCGCTTGATGAAGGTCATACTTGTGGATTCGTTTCTGTTGTAAGTGATGTATAAATCCACGCCTACTTTGAAAATCCACGTTGCATTTTAAACACATGAATGTTGTATAGTTTGTTTGACATTTGTGTTTAAAATTTTTCTTTAAATGCGTGATCAGGGCAGCTGCAGTTTCAAATTCACGTTCTGGACAATGCGGGCATTTGTATACATCACAACAGCGAGCACAAGGACGGTTTTTGCTAACAAAAGGCATACTTCACTTACATAAGCACCTGAAAAATCATAAAAAAATACAGTAAGTGTCCTGTAAAGAAAAAATTATTATTAAGACCGCTATTATAGTGCCAATGAACAATTCCTAATTTATTATAGACTAATTTGTTATCTAGCAAAAAAAGTATATTCCCGGAAAGAGCATACTAAAATTAGTAAATTGCAAATTAGTAAATTGTAAAATGGGGAAAGTATAGACTTGCAAAGTTCTCAAATTTTGAATACTTTTGTATTGCGTGCGGAAATTGCTACCACATTTGGGCCGACATTAAAATGGTAGCAATTTCCGCACGCAATGCAAAAGTATACAAAATTTGCAAACTTAATTGCAAGGTTATATTTTCCGCATTTTACAACAATTTGCAACCAAACTTTGAAACTTTACTCATTTTAGTATGGTCTTTCAAGCTGTGGTGATGTATTTGCATCTCCTTGCCTAGTTTTAAAATTAGTCTATAATGGGAATTGTCCGATTCCAAGAATAGGAACAATAATTATGATCACGAGTGTTCAGAGGGATATAGACTTCTGAAAATTAGTTAGAAGACGGTTTTTTAAGACTCGGTCTACAAAGAGTTTAAAATCACTGTTATTTCCACTGCATCATTGAAAAGTAATGGATGAACTGTAAATTTGCAACCTTTCGGCAATTTAAATATTTATACTGCAGAATGCTTATTTTGGGTGTGCAATGTTTTCGACAATACAGTAGCTGTCCAACCAAGTACTAGTCAGGCTTGCCCACTGAGCTCTATTTATATCTGTAGCAAGAACTTCAGTCACTCGACCTATGAGAAATGTTAAACCAAAATGTGAAGGGAAATCCAGACCCATCAAGGGGGCTATATTAAATGGCCTGCCTATGAGGGCCCTAGGGCTTCACTGAATTTCCGCCATTTTGGTTTCAAAAACAAAGCCCGAGCTATATAGTTCCAATTTTATCGAGTTCGTCAGTTCACTGCGTCCAATAGTTCCACCTTTGGCTTCACTTTATCGGCACAGGTTCTCACTCCAAATATATATCGAGCTCACTTCCCATTTGGCTTATAAATAAAGATAATATCAATAAATGGAGGCTGAGCTGTATCAGCTAGTATATGAATTCATCATCTGATGGATGTTTCGAGTTATCCGTATGCTCCTTCTCGTTCCGCAGAAATACATTTATATATGCTCTACCAATGTTGATACATGAAGTCATGGGTCATTCCATGCAAAACAGCTAGTGAGTATAAACCACCAATTAAATTTTTTAGGTGCCCTTTTTTTCCGAAAAATGCCCATCGAAACCGCCCCCCCCCACTTTTTTATGCTTCCTACGCTCCTGCCAACAAGTATAGCTTGTGCTCTGAGTCTAGATATCTAGCTCAGACTGCAGTTGTTTTTACTCCTTCCTCCTACATTATTCTTGACCATGTAATTTATATCATCCTCAATTTCTCTACATTCGTTTAACAATAGGGCATGGAATTTTTTAAGAATTCGTCAGTGGGGGATCTACAAAAGGGACCATACTATACCAAGTGTGGAGAAATGATAGATGGTGATTGGTAACAAAAAGTTTGGTGTGGTATCGCACTTAATAGTAGGAGGGTCTGAGGGTATTCTCCCCCAGAAAATTTTTGTATTTTTCTACCCGTATGACTGCAATTCCTGCATTTTCTGAAACTGATTTTTGGATATACAGCATTACATTATGCTGTAGATAGACCTTAACTGTGGATAGACATCATAGACTAACCTTCAGTGAAATACTTGCATGATATGGTTATGTAGGTACCACAACTTGGTCACTCAGGGAGTTAGCTTGATAAACTTAGGGGGCCTGATTCCCACGAAGCGCCAACATGGTTGGCACAGAGCGGGGAAATTTTGTGTCTCTAACTCGTCGGAAATGGCACTTTCAAAGTATTCTCCACCTCTTTTGTTAGGCCCTTTCATTAATTATTTCATTACGATTTGTGAGTCTATGCTATCCGTTAGTCAGGATTTATTATTACGAGAAATGTTGTCAGTATCAAAATATCGATTACAGATGTTTGATTATATATATACATACTATTTCAAATACTTCTAGTTCTGAAATCAACTGTTTTTTTTTGTGGGGGGCCAAAATTATCGCCCCTTATAAAACAATGGGTTGGGGGCCCGTTTCCCTCTGCCTCCTACGCCCCCTGAGGTCAATAACTTGTTTAGCCGAGCCTTCCAACAACTCAATTCCGGGTACCCGAGTTGGCCTTAAGGTTAGGCAAGATCCTGCCTGTTAATATTTGGTACTAAATTTGATTTTACGTTTATATGGGAACCAAGCTGGCCCGCGTACTTAAGCGAGATTCCACCTTCGCGAGATCCCACCTTAGCGAGATCCCACCTACTGTAGCTTGATTGATCCCAGGTGACTGGGCTGGGAATTTTCCTTATAAATGCAATTACTGACATCAATCGGTCATATGAAAATATATTACCCTCAAAAGTCAATTACTGTCCACTCAGAAAGCTACACATAGGTTAGTACAAATGTCAATGTGATCATGAAATTTATCAGCAGACAACTTAAGTATATAGTTAACACAATGATAACACAATGAGTGAGAGCACTCACCCCATGATAAGTAATATCATCAGGAATTAGACAGAACTTTAGAGTAATAAAATAATAAAGTGAGATGCATTAGGTGCAACGCAACTTAATGGGTAAATTAGTTTAATGCAATGAGTGTCAGTACACTTCACTTGAAGACTCAAGAGTAAATTGTCTGGCATTAGAAAGAATAACATAATAAAGTACTTAGTGTGCATTGCCACTTATAAAGGGTTAAATTTAATTTCTGCCAAATCTAGTTTCAGGCAAAACTAGAAAAATTGCATGGCTAAGGTGCACATCTACACTAGCTGTGTGTAATTAATAATTAGGGTTCCTTCTTCTTGGGATGTACTGTACGTCTGTTAATAAATCGCACATATTTGGTATGTTGCATGCAATCATTTTCTCCATTGACAATGCACCAGGCATTTAATTCCTACTCTTGCAAGGCCATTATGGTACTAGTATGCAACTAACATACAGTTTTCCCAAGATATTTCTTTCTAATGAATATTGTTGTCATCACAAATTAATATAAAATGCCATTAATCTATACACTATTATCGTATTTAATTTTTAGATAATTTCTATTGACATATTATGTATAATATAGGAGCCTTGTATTATACTTTCTATTGCAACTTGTTGAGTCATGTAATAAATCACACTTGTCGAAAAGCTGAAGCCGGAGCCAAGGCCTGTGTGTGGCTGTGCGCGATCACATGACATTCCCAGGATGGGCCACAAACTATTCTGGTCAACAAACAGTATGGTCAGGATGTATTCTTTTACAGTTCAGGACTATTCTAAGGACATGGTCCCTGCACGGCATGGCATGGAGTTAGGATACAGCTTGTATAGCAGTATCTTGTATATTTTATTCTCCAGCTAGTCTTCAAAATTGCTTTAATGCTTTTTCATGATAAAATTTAACAGATCGCATTTTATACAATCATGTCAAAGTTATAAAAACTTGGGCCAATGTGTTACTGTCAGATGTCTTGATTTAAACGTTATACGTGGTTGCTTCAGTATATATCTGGTGTATAATGTCCTGTACAATGTACATGGAATCCACAGTTATTTGACATACAGGTAATTGTACTGCATATAGCACAGTTATTTTGACATAATCGTGGTCCATCATCCATTTACAACTTCACATATAAGAGATAAGCATATAAGTATAAAAACCAAATCAAATACCTCAAAGGACAAAGCTACTCGTATTCAATTTCTTGATCACGCTAGCTTATCTGACATGACTTAAACTGATTTCAGACTATTAAGCTACTATCGTTGGCCAATCTACTCAATTTCAATATCCAGACCAAATAATTATAGTGTAATTTATTTTCATGGTTCGATCATGTAATATATTTCAAATATTGTTGCAATCAAATATATTTTAAGTCGCAATTACAAAATATACTTGCCTTTTCCCGTGCTAGTGTGTGACATCCTTCTTTAAACGTTCATTAATCCTACCTGCCTGCATTATGTAGGTACAATGAGTGAGCCGTTTATCTTCGTAAAAAAACTTTAAAAGTTCTGAACGACATTCCAATAAATATTAAATAAATTGGGTAACAACCTTTGCTTCCTTGGAAAATCGTATCTAGTTCTTGGAATTAGACGATTAAAAAATTAACAAGAACATTTCCGGTGATTAGGGACGGACCATTAGAAAAGTGATGGGGCAAAACCAAAAAAAAAATTTATTCCCAGAAAAAAATGAAAAAAAAAATCTTTCAAGGCATAGTGCAAAAAAAAATTCCTTGCTTAGGGCCTGTTCATATGATCCCGCTTACCGGGACGTCTCGCTTACCGAGACGAATATTTCCGTGCGTTCATATGGAATATTTCGTCCCGCTTGCCGAGATGAAATTACATTGTAGTTCTATAATTAGCGTATGCAAAACTTCTACATTTCAGTCAAGCAACACAAATACTTAGCCATTTTAGTGTTTTTCTTCGTTTATTTACAATAAAAAGTATTTCTTCAGGTGCATATTTAATACTTGTTTACAAAACAAACATAAAACCAAGTAAAAAGTGTTAAATTAAACTGGCAAGACTTGTTTGACTTCATCCCGGTAAGCGGGCTGGCGTGTTCATATGGAAAAATTTTCATCCCGCCTACCTATGATCTCGGCAAATTCAAACGAGATCTCGGCAAGCGGGCCAGCTCGCTTTCCCATATGAACACAATGCAAAATTTTATAGGAAAATAGATAGGCGGCGAGATCATCGGTAAGCGAGACGTCCCGGTAAGCGGGATCATATGAACAGGCCCTTTGACTGTCTTCTCATGGATAACTTGTGCTCACTTAATAGAACTGAACACATAAAAAGTTTCTCTGATCAAAGTATATTTTAATCAAAGCATTTAACAGTTTAAAATATTCATATTGTGTTGATGTGGGAACATGGCCGGGAGCCAGGCTGGCTCGCCTAAGCGAGATCTTGCTTAATTTGTGAAGCCCAAACAGATCTCGCCTAGGTGGTCTGGCTCGCCTAAGTCGCTGAGTACAAATATATTGTTGTATATATTTGATCTATAATTATAAAAATTAATTGTTTTGGTGTGTCAGCCCACCACAGAATAATATATATATATATATATATATATATATATATATATATATATATATATATATATATATATATATATATATATATATATATATATATATATATATATATATATATATAAAGGTACGAAAAGGTATGAAATATCAGTTTTCATTCGCAGATTACCATAACTTGTTGGCCTCATGGGTGCCAAAATCGACATAAACGTAAACTGCTAACCAAGAGCTATAAAACAAATAGCTTGTCAAAAAGATAAACTTTATTCAGTCAAAAGGATGAGGGTAAATAAACATGCTACTGCGTGATGGTGATTTTGAAGCAACTTTGTCACATATATTTTAAAAAGTGGGATAATGAATCAAATTTTGCTTTTTTCAGTCCCAAAAAGATATGAAAATTATTTGAATATTTAAGGTTTCCGTGTTTATAATGTATTTTATGAGAAAAGTAAACATTTTTCCGATAAAAAAGCATAGTTTCCGCAGAAAACTGTTTTTTGAGGTAGAATATCCTGGGAGAGGGGGTGTAGAAGCGTGGGCGGATAGCAAAAAACTTTGACAATTTCACCAAAAAATTAATACCAAATTCTGTTTTGTCTTAGTTTGGTATGTAATTTAAACAAGTTTTTTTACATCTAAAAATTGCCCCTCGTGATCAAAACTTGGATTATGTTCGCAGTATTGTCTATTTGTTTACTTCTGGAGATCGAAGTTTGAGGTCCAATTATTTTTAAAGTTTGCCAACTACCTAGCTAATTCTTGGCTGTTGTTTGCAGCCTTGTATGCTGATTAAAATTTAGTTTAGTCCACAATAGTAGATCCTTTCAAAGAAAGGAAATTAAAAATAGTATATTTGATTACTTTTACAGCACAGTTAGTACATAGGTAGGGTGCAATACCAGGCCAAATTGCAAAAAAATTTACCGAAATCTCCAAATTTAAAATCATATTTTTTTGCTCCCAAGGCACATAGGAAACATAATTTAACAATGAATTTTGTTGAAAAATTGCCCCTTTGCGTCTAATTTCGCATTGAAATGCGTGCGTTTACTGCTCTTGTATGAGATAAGAGTTCGAAAACATTCGAAGTACTGTAAAATGTAATGAAATCGACAACTTGACCTTGCCCTTGAGACCTTGTACTGCCTCACTAGCACTGAAATGTTTTTTGACAACGATAATTTACCAGTGTTTCTTGGATATTTTCCTTGTTTAACTAGTAGAACCGAACATACAAGTGCATTAGAAGACTAAGCGAGGTCAGCGAGAGTTTTGTATATAGAAATGCTCTGTTTACGAGAAGTTATTTTGCATTCGCAAGCGTCAACAAAAGCGGATTTCACGGCAGTTTGATTATCATGTCGATAGATAAAAGCTTTGAAAATTCAATTGAAAACATTTTAAACCACCCGTATTTCTATAGAATATATGTTAGTGGTATTAACATTGAACTTCTTTCTGTTTGAACCCAAATTCGTACTTGTTTTGCGTTTTATAAGGCTGTCAAGCTCGCGACGATCGGCAGGTATGACTGCAGATTTAGCGTGTCAAATGTCTTCTTGTTTGTGTCAAGTTTATAATATTCTATTGCTGTTCAAACACAAACGAGATATTCTATGCACTGGAAACGTAGAGTACATTTTACTTTGTCTTTGTCTCGAGCAAAAAAATTATAAAGATTAAACAGGCATTCAAAAATATACAACAACCACGAACATCTCGTTATTTCTTCGGGAAAATCTTCAAGTTTCAATGGAAATCTGGCGCATGCGCAACAAATTTCCCAG